GGCGGATTGTCCCTGCTCAGGAAGCCGGGCCAGGTGGCTCCCTTTGGAAGTGCTCAGAGAGGGACTCAGCTGTGAGCCCCCAGCCGCCAGCACCCCTGCAATTTGGGGTTATGTTTCTTGGTCCCGGGTGCAGGACCTGGGGTGGGGGTGGTGTGCCACGGCCACCGAGATAGTGCCTGCCGGACATGGCTTAGACCTCCATGCTTCGTATGGGAAGTTTGCTTTGTGTGGAAATAGCTCCTCCAGAATTCTAGTGACTGTTTTCTCTGGGAATCTTACAGGAAGGTAAGTAGGAGGAACGATTGCCCCTACTTCCTGAGCTCTTCCTAGGGATAATCTGCCTGGTCAATGGGGGACGCAAAGGTCCAGGCCTCTTGCCTCAGGTGGGGCCAGGTCTGAAGCGTCACCCCCACTCCAGAGCCCCCTGTGGGGGCGTCCTTTGTTGTGACTGCATCGCTGGTCAATGTATTCCTCTGCTCAGTCCTGACTCCTTCACTTCCTCGGATGCCATGTTGTTTCTGGGAGTGCCTCCCCATAAACTTTCTGCAAGCAGATCTTCCTTATGATGTCTCATGAGAAACCTGAACTAAGACAGTCTAGTCACCTAAGTCACCGAAGATTCTAACCTTGGGGACCCAGGAGAACAAGCCTCATCCATCTGAAGGTGGACCTCCTGGCCACCTGAGTCTCTGAGCCATGGTTCCCTCCACCAGTCCTCACAGAGTGTGGTGTCATCCTACATCCTGGCTGTCCTCCACCAAATGCCCTCCTGCCGCGTGTTCCCCGACGATAAAGCAACTAATCGGAAGTCCCTGAGTACATCAGACGTGGTCTGACAGGACAGGAATGAGAATGTGACTGCGTCGTCCTTGGTTCTAGAGCTCTGGCTGCACATTGGAACCAAGGGTGAAACGTTAGAAATATAAATTCCTCACCTTCTTCCTCCCCTACCCCCTCCCACATCCCAGGTCTTGATTCAGAGGCCCTGGGCACAGCAAGGACACACAGTGCTACCAGAGCTTCCCAGGTGATTCTGGTTGATATCAAGATGGAGAGCCACTGGGCTCAGTGTTCGACTTCAACTCAGCAGCCTCAGAGTCTGTCTGCTTTTCTGGCAGCCTTTTCATTTGACTCATATGGAGCTGGCTGTCAGCAAAAACCCTCAGTTTTATTCACACTTGCTTCTGCTAAGCCGCCACTTCCCCACCCTGTCCTTGCACAGTCGGTGCCGTGGAGCCAAGCCCAGATCTCTGTTAAGCCATGTTCATTTCACCTTTGAGGCTCAGGCTGTGACTCCAGCACGTTAGGGGGTTCGGGATCCTGAGTGTGTCTCCCAACACACCCCCTGTTCTCACTGACTTCCTGTTATTCACAATAACTTCCTGTTATTCACAACGTTGAGGGGCTTGCTCCCTGTGGCTTTGCCCAGGTCCTGATAAAAAGATGGACAGGACAGGAATAAGGACAGAAGCAAGCCATCTTCCCGAGGGCCTTCCTTACGTGCAATGCACCATGCCCGCCTGGAGAAGGACATCGTCTAACTTATTTTCCTCACACTTAGGAAAATGGGTTCATTTCACAGACGGGTAAGCAGAGGCAGGGAAGATGCGGACTATGTCCAAGAAGACCCTGCTGTGGCAGGGGCCAATCCTTTCCTGCCATCTACAGCTCTACATCTCCCAGAGGAAAGGTGGGAGATAAAAGTGACAAGGTTGACCCTTCTGATTAGAAAAAAGAGAGATTTTTAGAACTGGAAGGAATCTTAGAAACAATCAAAAGCTAACAGATTAGAGTGCTCAGGTAACTTGCCTAGATCACACAGCAAAAACCTTTCCTCTGTTGGAAATTACAATCTGGGTTTCTTGAGAACGATCCGGTATTCACTCCGCTACATCTCCAAATAAGTTTGGTCCAAAATGGCACTTCAAAGGAAACACACACGGGACCGGATCTTTTCTACTTCTAAGTCCCAGATGTTTCCCTCTATGATTCTAGAAGGGCTTAGTTTGGGAGGAGAGGCAACATCTCCCTCCTGGGCTTCTACGGAAAACTCTTGATCATCTCTCCTCTCCTACATGAGGAATTAGAACCTCAGCACCTGCTATCCAGCCTTGTTCCTTCCTCCATTCACACTCAACTCTGTGTGTAGAGGGTGGCTGGATCTGGAGCCACAGCTGGACATGAACAGACAGACTGATGAACAGCTCCTGCTGTTCACTCTACCTCATCAGCGGTGGGGGCTGTGGTGGTGGGAGGCTGGCACGCAACTTCTTGAGTTCTGGTCATCTGGGGGACAGCCTGCTTCAAGTCTACAACCAGGAGCACCCCTAACTCGGCCTGCCCTGGGAAGGTGGGTCCAGCCCCTGACCCACACAGACTGCTGGGGGCGGCAGGAGGTGGGGGACAAATAAAGAGCAAGTCAGTGAAGATATTTGTTATGGAAAGAGTAGCATATATACTGAGGAGGACGTAATAAGAAATTGCGTTGCTCCTGTCAGTGACTGCTGCTACTCCTACCACTACTAAGCTCACGTGTAGGCATTGTATTGAGTACTTTATATTCATTATAGTATTTAGTTCTTACAACATTCCTTGAAACATAGTTATTTCCATTTCACAGGTCAGAATGTTGATGCACAGGGAGGTTAAATATCACAAGATAAACCAGCTAGTGAGTGACTGGGTTCATAGAGTAGTGAATTTGGCTCATGTGTCAGACTGAGGAACAGACCCCAGAGGATGTCACAGCAGCCTTCCTCATTCCAAAACGAAGCTAGCCATTGGCCCAAGAGGCACAACAGGCCTCAGGGCTCCTGAACCCCAACTGCTTCATCAGGGAAGTCACGGCATCAGCTTAAGAAACCTACCTAATCTGACTCTCTTGTTGGCTAGTAACTGGGTCACGGGAAGATCTGAGTTCAACTTCCACCACTAAACTTCTCTGATGAGCAGATTGGGAAACCTCACACAAGCTGCCAAGTGAACCAATGAATTCGGGTCCTGCCTCCGAGGCTTTGGGCCGCCACCATCTCCCCGGGAGGCAGCGATGTGCTGACTTGTGTGGCCCGGAGCTCACACGTGCAAACTCCAGTGTAGGTGCCGCCACCATCACAGCTGACACAGACCCCCCAGCGACTCCACTCGGGATCTGCCCTCCCTCGATCCCCAGCCTTTCCCCAGGAGGCACGAGCTTTTCAGTGTGCCCAGTAGGGGGCATCGTCGCCCTTCCACCTTCTGCTCTGGAATTGGCAGATTGCCTGGGGCCCTCTGCTCAGCTCAGGCCGGGAGCACATTTCCCAAACTGGGTATTCGTGACCTGCTTTCTCCATAGCCATTCTACCATTATTTATACAGTAGTAGTTTTCTTTGTCAATACACATGTTTTAAAAGCCTCGGTATATTTTTAAAAGAAAAAAGCCCTTTGATGAAGGTTTCCCCAGCTTCCCTCACTGCGTGAATTCCCTGCATTCTAAGGGCTGCTTTGCAGGATATGGAAAGGAAAATACAGGCCCCGCGGAAGCTACAGTGGGGTTCTCAAGAACTTGCTCCAGGCAGTGCCATCACTGGGTAAAGACGGGTGAGGATTTATTCCGTGGATCCATAGCTTGCTCTTTAGAGCCAGAGAGTGGAAGGATCGGAGTAAACTATCCTGAACTCCCTGCTTTCCTGTGGCACCCCCAAACCTGTCTCTCCCCTGCTACCTCTCCCCCCACACCCCAAGGGAGAGAGAAGGGATTGTCTTTCCAGGCCCAAAGTGGCGAGAAGGCTGATGGCTGCAGGGCAGATAAGAGGGAGGGACGTGGGTGCAGGGCCAGAGGTGGCTGCAGGTGACAGGTGCAGGGGCTTTGAGAAGGAGCTGGGATTTCCCTTGCAAAATCTATTCAAACAGACAAACAGGGAACCTGATCCCAGGAGGGAACCAAAACTACAGGGACACCAGAGGGGCCCTTGGCTAGAGGGATGGGAAAGGAGAGAAGGGGGACAGCAGGATTTGGAGGGAGGGGTGGGAGGATGAGGGCAAAGGGCAAAGAAGCTGGAGGATTCCCAAGCTGCTTCCACAGGCTCAGTCAGGCCTTGCTTGCTCCAGGCTCCATCCCAAGTCTTAGAATTGCTCTCCTAGAGGTTATTTTAGTGCTGGGAGTCCCCTTAGCTCCAGCCCCACTAGCTCCCACCCCCCTGCCCTGGCCCAGACTGGCCAGCAGAGACAGTTCTAGGGCCTGAGGATCTCACAGTCGTCAGGGGCTGGCACAAAGGCTCATGGCAGAACCTGGGGCAGAAAACCAGGCCCCGAGAGGGAAGGAAGTCCTGGGTAGAGCTCCCTGCTCCCCCAGTTGAATTAGCAAGGGCGATAAGCAGATCAGATTAAGCAAGAGGAAGTGGGCTGGCTGAGCTGGGCCAGGACTGAGCTCCCTGGGCTGGGGCAGTGTAGAGGCCCTGCAGGCACCCAGAGCAAGTGCCCAGAGCCGAGGCCTCTGCGAGCAGCCTCCTGCCTCAAGCGTTCTCACCCAGGCTCTGGGCACAGGTCAGAGGAGGGGGCCTGGCAGGAGAGCCTCCTGAAGTCTGGTGGCCAAGGGTGGCCCAACTGGCTGTGTGCGAGGGTGGCTGGTCAGCAGGGCGTCCAGGTGTCAGCCAGGCCTCGAGGTCCAAGAGGGGAGAGTCACGTGTGGGGGGTGAGGTGTGTGATTGCCTCACTTGCACCTCATTTTCATGGGGAGGAAGCGTTGAGAAAGAGGAGCTGGGTATTCAACAAACTTTGCTTATTCAAAAATGCTCAGTCCCAGCTGGGCCCTGCCCCACCCTCAACTCCCACTTGCAGGGTGGTCCCAGCTCCTCGGGCTCTGGGAGAAACCCTGGTGCTTTGGACCCCACCTCTGTGGAAGTCCCTTCCCTGGTCACCTGCTTGCTTCCTCCCCTCAGTCCTTGCCTGCGCAACAGTGTCCCCAGCTGGCCCCACATTATTCCTTCTCTAGCCCCCGGCCGCATCTAGGGGAGTAGGAACTACTTCTGGGACCGGGAGGCCCCAGCTCCAAGCAGACCAGACCTCCTGACTGCATCCTGAACAGCAGCGAGAAGGAAGCCCTGAGCAGGAAGTGCTGAGGCACTGGGTGAGGGCGGGGGCTTCGAGGAGGGGAGCCGGCCTCCCAGGGCAGGAGCAGTAACCACAGCCCCCCACTGCAGGCAGGCAGGAGGAGGCTGATTTAAAAGGCAGCGGGCCCTCTGTCCGAAGCACTCAGCTCTGCACCCAGCCACTGCCACCGTGGGCTGCAGGAGCACCCAGACTTCCGGACCAGCTCCGGGCGGGTGCCATGTGAGCCCAGCTAGGCTCTCCTCCTGCCCGCCCTCCTGCTGCCGGCCTCTGCCTTGTCCAGCTTCTCCAAAGAGGAACCCTTGGCACCATGTCTCTGCTCAACCCTGTCCTGCTGCCCCCGCAAGTGAAGGCCTATCTGAGCCACGGGGAGCGCTTCATCAAATGGGACGACGTGAGTGGGGCAGGGCTGTGGGCCGCGGGGACACGGGTAGCAGGCGGGGCTGCGGGGTGCTTTGCCAGGGTGGTGGGTAGGTTTATGTCTGTCAGGACTCAGGCGCCTGTGTGGCTTGGCCAGGCAGCAGACACAACTGCCTGGATAAACAAACCTGGGGCTGAGGGTGTGTGCCCCAAACATGTTCCTGGGCTGCAGGGCTAAGGCTCTGTGTCTGGATGTGAGAAGCTGGAGGGCTGCCTGGGAGGGTCCGGGTGGGTCTTTCCCCATCGCCCCCAGGGTGCGCTGCTCCTGGTCCCGGCTGAGTGGGAGGAAAGTGCCCCAGGGCTGAGGCAGGGCCAGAAGCAGCGGTGGACCAGGGCCTGCTCCCAGCGCAGATGCCCCACTCTTGCCCATTAAGATTGTTCACCCCTCCCCACCCGCCCCGTCCCTGTCCCTGTCCCTGTCTCTAGCCCAAGAAAGCCCTGCTCTCCCCAAAGCGGCTGTGGGGCTGTGGGGCAGCCCCTAAAGGCCCCTGCACCCCGAGGAAGAACTGGGGCTTCTGGTCCCAGGGGCCCCGGAAGGAATGGATTGACTTCTGCTTCTGCGGGCTGCTCACCCAGCTCCCTGCCGCCTGCCTGTCTGCAGGGGAAGGGGAAGGCACTGCTGTGCCCTGTAGTGTGTCTCCACTGTGTCTGCTCCTTCCCAAACTGGGGCCTGCCTCCAGCCTCTGGTCCTCCCAGACCCCAGGGGCCAGGGATGCTCTGGGGCAGGTGAGGAGAGCAGGGAGGGGAGGCTGCTGGGCTGGCCCTGTGTGAGAGGCAGAGGGGCTGGTCCCAGGAAGGGAACATGAAGGCCGGGGAAGGGTGTGGGGGTGGAAGAGAGGGCCTTAGGGCTGGCTAGTCCTCACAGGTGGGATGAGGGGGCTCTGGGTCTGTGAGTTAAGGTAGCCTGGGCTCTCGGCCGTTCAGGGCTGGGCTGGGCTGAGTAATCTGGTTGCCATGACTGTGGGGAGGAGGCCATGGCCAGATGCTTTCTGCTTCCCTCGGGGTGTGTGGTAGATGTGGCATGGCGGCGGCCTGTCCCAGGAGCCTGTGGAATGAGGGAAGTGGCTCAGAATGAAAAGCGAAGTGGCCTCTCTCGGTTCCTCTGGGAAGTGTGCGTAACCCGGCTGGGCAGAGGGTCATTAGGGGTGGGGGCATGCTTTGTGGCCTTCTCTGCAAGCCAGCACCTGGGCACTTGGCTGCCCCCTCCCCTGCCCCAGGCGGGGCACTGCAGGGCCCTCAATCCTGATTTCCACAGCAGGCACCGCCCACGCCCGGCCACAGGCACATGGACCTATGGCCAGGGCTCTGCTCTCAGACTATTCAGCCCAGCTGGCAGGTGGCTTGGGTACGCCATGCCGTGTTGCATAAGCACAGCGCACAGGATGTAATGAACTCCCCACTGCATGCTGTCTCCCGTGCCCCTTTACAATGCATTTGCTGGGAGAAGCTCTCCCCCGGCCGTGGAAGGAAACTCAGGCAGCCACAGGCAATCCATTTGCTCTCGGGGAACACAATTCTATGGTCACTTTTCCTCGCAAAGCCAAGTCTTCTTTCAGAAACAGTTATCATGAAGAGCTCCAACCTTTATTTAGAACAGTGATGGCGAACCTATGACACGTGAACTCATTTTTTTGGTTGACTTTTCGTTGTTAAATGGCATTTAAACATATAAAATAAATATCAAAAATATAAGTCTTTGTTTTACTATGGTTGCAAATATCAAAAAATTTCTATATGTGACACGGCACCAGAGTTAAGTTAGGGTTTTTCAAAATGCTGATGCCGAGCTCAAAAGGTTCCCCATCACTGATTTAGAATGACATCTTCTGCCCTCCTCCCGCTAGGAATGGTTTGAGGTGGTCTGGTTTCCTGCTCCTCCTCCAAGACCCGCCAGGGGTGGGGTGCAGGGAGGGAGGTGAGAAAGGCGTATCAAAGGGCTTCATCAAAGGGCTTCATCGAACAGGCATCATCATCAACTGGCTCGTGCTCTCTGCGCCTGGCAGGCGGTTTGGGCGGATTCTTTCTCTGGTGCACAGTTTTGAGGATTCTCAGGACCTCTCCACCCTGCACTGGGGTCCTCTTGCTTAGGGCCCTCCTGCTATCTGTATTCCAGGCCACTTGCAATGGCTTCTTCAGTCCCTCCGAATCCAGTGACGGCCATCAGCTTCCTATGGCTTTGGACTTTGCCCCTCCCTCCCACAGGCCACGCTGGACCCAGCAAGTGCACGTGTGTGCATGGTCCCAACAGACTCCGGGGTCCGGCTCCTCTCGCACACCAGGGTCTCTCTGCCTCCAGCAGTCAGCTGGTCTGTCACCAACTGGTTCCTGGGCAGGAGTCAGGCCCCAGTGTGTTATGTCCCACAATAGCAGGGTGACAAAATCTCTCCAAGTGCAGTTAAACCCCTCACTAGGCTTAAAGTGAGGGGTCAGGCACCCCAATCCTCCCTTGGGAAAGGTAGGGAATGGAGCTCACAGCACAGCTTTCTCCAAAATTAGCCTCCTCACAAAGTGTCCTCTTTCTCCAGTCGATTAAGCACCCCAGATCTGAGAACCTTTTTTGACTCTTTCCTTTGTAAATGCTGCACTTGACTTGGTTTGGGGTGCAGGAACTACCATGTTTTGTAGAGAGCTTCAACTTTAATATCTTGTTATATATGCATACAAATCATTACAATCAGAGGTAGCCTGTGTGCTCCGTGAACGGAACAGGAATTTAGAAGTGAGTTCATTCATCATTCATCCACTCTTTTAGCAAAGCTGGGGCACGGGGCTCATGGTCTAGTGCGGGCTTGTTTCCTGAGGGTCCGAGCCCCTGGGGATTTCCTGGATGGGTTTCTAGGTCTGAGGATAAGCCCCTCTCAGGCTGTTTCAGAAAAGGCTTTTCTGAAGCCATGAGGCTTCTGCTGGTCCGTATGGTGTTTCAGGCAGGGAGGGTTGGAGGTGAGAACGCACTTGGTATCTAAGGGGCATGGGTGGATGGGGGGAGCAGTTCACGGAGGGGAAGACTGAGCGTGTGGGAAGCGAGGTTTCAGCCGGATGGTGTAGGGCCATGGTCGACAAACTGCGGCTCGCGAGGAGCCACATGTGGCTCTTTTGGCCCCTGGAGTGTGGCTCTTCCTAAGCCTCAGGAGTACCCTAATTAAGTTAATAACAATGTAGCTACCTATATAGTTTAAGTTTAAAAAATTTGGCTCTCAAAAGAAATTTCAATCGTTGTACTGTTGATATTTGGCTCTGTTGACTAATGAGTTTGCCGACCACGGGTGTAGGGCCTTGGATGCAGGTGTGGGAGTTGGGTTCTTGGCTCTCACTGTTGAGCAACCCTGGAGGTGGTATGGACTCTCAGGAGAGATAGTCTATACCTTGACTGAGCTGTGGCCCTATGAACAGGATGAGGTGGGGGCCAAGACCCCGTTTGGGGTCTAGAGGGAGAACCTCTCTTTGGGGCTTAGAGGGGAAACCCTCTTTTCTCCCAGAAATACCACCTCCAATCCTCTACCCCTTTCCTCCCCCGGTGCAGAGCTTTTGAGGCTTATGCCCAGCCTTTAGCTCCGCAGGATGAGGGAAATGCCTGCAGATTCCCGGGACAGCCACCTCCTAGAGGGATGGTGAGCTCTGAAATGCCTGGTGTGGGCCAGGGAAGCTTGGCCTGGAGTCTCAGAGCAGGGCGCTGCCTCTCTCTCTCCACAGGAAACAACACTAGCCTCCCCGGTCATCCTCCGTGTGGACCCCAAGGGCTACTACTTGTACTGGACGTATCAGAGTAAGGTGAGGCAGCCCCTCCTGGCGTGACCAAAGAGCTCCTACTATTGCATGGAGTCAAGGCGCCTCGTGCCATGGTGGCTGGAGGTGCATGGTGGGAGTGCAGAATGACCCCGCCGGAGTCTTTGGGAGATCTCTAGTGAGGGGGGGCTATTCGCTTTGGTGGGGGGGGGGTGCAGTCCCTCCAACCACGGCTGCCTTCAGCCTAGATCAGGGGTGGGCAAATTTTTTGACTCGAGGGCCACAATGGGTTCTTAAACTGGACCGGAGGGCCGGAACAAAAGCATGGATGGAGTGTTTGTGTGAACTAATATAAATTCAAAGTAAACATCATTACATAAAAGGGTACGGTCTTTTTTTTTTTTTTTTTTTTAGTTTTATTCATTTCAAACGGGCCGGATCCGGCCCGCGGGCCGTAGTTTGCCCACGGCTGGCCTAGATGCTCCGGCCTTAGCTGGAAAGAGAGAGAGAGAAGGGAAAAAGCTGCTACTGAAGGCTGGTTCTCTGCCTGGGGTTCCAGGTGGACTTGAGGGCTCAGAGAGATCAGGGACGGGCCTCAGCACCCAGGCAGAAAGGAGGGAGGGAGAACCGGAGGAGAGTCCAGGATGGTGGAGGCGAGATCGCGGGCTACTGGGTCCTGAGTAACTCGAGCGGCCAGGGAAGGAATGGACAGAAGGGCAGCCCCACACAGTCTTAGCATCTAGAGGGGGCGGTTGGCCGGGATATGAAGGGGTGTGGAAGCTCCCTCCTCCCTGCTCTATGTACACCTCCCTTCTTTTACCCCCTGGGCACCCCCAGGAGATGGAGTTTCTGGATATCACCAGCATCCGGGACACCCGCTTTGGGAAGTTTGCCAAGATTCCCAAGGTAGGTGGGCCCAGTAGCAGCGCAGGCTCAGCATGGTCACTGGCTCCGCGGGGCTGGGGCAGGAGCCCTGGGGAGTGAGGAGAGGTCCCCGGGCTGGGCAACCGGCCTCCCCCTGAGCCAAGCAAGGGGCATGGCTGCTCCTGTCTCAAGGCCAGCCCTTGCCCCTAAATCACCCAGGCTGTCTGGGGGTGTGGCTCCCAACCCCCCCTCCCAACTCCCTGACTGGTTTGCCTATATTTGCTTAATGCTCATAGAAAGATTGGAGGAAGGGATTGGGGGAGCAGGATTCCCTGAGCCAGGGAGCTAAGAATCTAGATTCAAATGAAAAAATGGCAAACAAAATATGCAGGACTCCCAAACCCCATGGCCTGGGTTCAGCTCTCTGGTGGGTTTCTCCCTCCCGGCCCCAGGCCCTGAAGGCGGGGATAGGAAGATGCTGGGGCCGGTGGCTCCTAAGATGGGACTGGGATTCTACCCCAGTGGCTGAGGGGGAGGGACAGCAGCGCCACCGTGGGCAGGGGCGACCCTCACCATGTCCCCTTTGCTGCAGAGCCAGAAGCTCCGGGAGGTCTTCAACCTGGACTTTCCTGACAACAACTTCCTGCTGAAGACACTCACTGTGGTGTCTGGCCCGGACATGGTGGACCTCACCTTCCACAACTTCGTCTCCTACAAGGAGAACGTGGGCAAGGTGCACTGGGGTCACCGGGCCTGGGGCCCGGCGCCGGGCATGGCCTGGACTTCCTGAGAGACAGGCCTGGGCCGGGGGGTGGCGTGGCCACCTTTGAGGTCAGGGGCCTGACTGCTGTGCTCTGGGGTCCTGCAGGACTGGGCTGAGGATATACTGGCGCTGGTGAAGCACCCGCTGACATCCAACGCCCCCCGCACCACCTTCCTGGACAAGATGTAAGTGCCTGCCTGGCTGGCCTTAGGGGTGGGGGGCGGGGGCTGAGTGTGCCAGCCCAGGGCCTGACAGGCTGCTTTCTGCCCACCAGCCTGGTGAAGCTCAAGATGCAGCTCAACCCTGAAGGGAAGATTCCTGTGAAGAAGTGAGTCTCCCCGTTCCCTCCCCACACTTCCACCCAGCTCTCCACAGCCTTCCCTCTCCAGGCATGACTCCTCTTTGTCTCACGCCTTCCTCTGCTCCTTTAGTTTTTTCCAGATGTTTCCTGCTGACCGAAAGCGGGTAGAAGCTGCCCTAAGTGCCTGCCACCTCCCCAAAGGCAAAGTGAGTGGTCCCCC